ATTTAATGAACATGAATTGACTGCACTGAGGGTGGTTCCGTCTACTCTAGCGGTCCGGCCATCATCCAGAACAGCGCCTGTGCGGTTCCTCTTCAGGTGCTCATGCACAGTGCTAATGCCGCTGTGGTTTGCCATCACACTGCACAGTGTAAAACCACCTTTTTGTTTTGTGATAATGTCAAGTACTTCCATAATTACGCAGTGATATTAAAGGAAAATATTTGTTATAATGAACTGAAATGTTTTAGAAATCTTAAAGATAATTTTATTAAAATAAAAAAAAAAAAAGAGTCGATTTAAAATATTGATGTCGACGCATTTTCTAAAATGCAGAAAACAGGACAAGTAAACCTTTCTATGGGTAAGTCAAAGACTTTTTCAGTTATCGTGTTAATAGGAAGACGTCTGCAGGCACAGCAAACTAGTCCCTACACCACATGTATTTTTCTCCTTTGGAAAACTAATATAATAGGAAGTTTGTACTAATGAGAGAAAATTGCAATTCATGCCATTGTGAAAGCTTTTCTATAACAAATTGAAAATAAAAATCCATTTACACCTACAAAAATGTTACCAATGGGGGAAAAAAATCATAAATGTATTTTAATGCATGACAATAGGTAGATTTAGTATAATTTTGCAAATGATCACATTCTTTCCATAGTTTAAAAAAAAAAATTCTGAAAGTCATGGTTACTGTTGGAAGACACCTCTAGGAACAACAATGTCTATCATGAAAAACCTACAAAATATTCAAAATATACAAAAATGCTGAAACGACACCTGTGATGATCCCACCTATGAAGCCACCTAAGGAACAGATACAATGTTACTTCAGTACATGAACACCATATAGTACAATAAAACTAAAATATAAGAGTATTTCTGAGTGACTGACCTGGAAATAATTCCACTTCCTTGACAGGGTCACTCTCCGCCGTACTCACAGGGTTACTGAACACACATGTGTAGCTTTTATCCAGCTTATTACTCTTCTCAACATGGAGCGTTGTGGTATCTTCTGCTATCGTCTTATTGTTCTCCTTCCAGGAGTACTTGGTATATGTGGTGTACTTTCCCTCACAGACCAAAGTACACTGGGTATCGTTGCAGGTTTTCCTGACACTGGGTTTGGACACTGGTTCTGTAGATCGGTGTAAAGACACAATTAAATGAAAATGCTAAAAACACCAAGATACGCAAAACTGATTACTGAAATATGGACAAGTATACAGAATAAAACTGACCTAGAATAATAATCTTACTTACCAAGTGCAATCACTGTAAAAAATGACTGAGCTGCCATTCCATTGATCTCAGCAGATAAATCCAGTTTTTCATTCGGCTTTAAATGCATAATTTTAAGCTCCCCAGTTGTATGATCCAGTTGACACCTTGATCCTGAATTACATATGGTATAATAATCAGGCTCTGATTGACCTGTTTCCCACTCTGCTGCTTTGGTCAGGCCACTTTTCCATGTGATGCTGGAGATGGGCTGGTTCACAGTGGGCTTCAGTGTAACTTCTCCTCCTACTTTTCCAAAAATCTCTTTCACCTCCCTCCCTGCATGGGTAGCAAAGACATTATACAAGATGTTTGCACAAATTAAACAAGTTTTCATGAAACCTTTTTCCCTGCATGAGTAGCAAACAGATGATACATGATGTCTAAACAAGTGCAGCAAGTCTTCATGAAATGATCGGGTCAAAGTGTACCAAACAGTACAACGAGTGCCACAGAAAATCAGATTTTAAAGTGAATAGTGAAAGCGCTTAAGTTTAAGCTAATAAATAACAGCGCTACAGACATCCCTATTTAGGGATATTGATTTCAGGTAGGTGGAAATTCAAAAATTGTCTGACATTTTTTCCCAGAATTTGCTACCTTATATAGAAACAATTTTCAGTTATATCTGGTGATTTTTGTTTTTTGCCAAAAAATCCTATCCATACTTTTGAATCGACATTAGTCTAAAGATTTATGCTACCAAAATAACTGTCCTATACTTTAAATGGGGGTAGCAGTTTTTTACATGTCGGTTTATGCTGCCAGGGGCTGCTACTTTTAGTGTTCAGTGGGGTACCAGTAAATATATACACTCACCTAAAGGATTATTAGGAACACCTGTTCAATTTCTCATTAATGCAATTATCTAATCAACCAATCACATGGCAGTTGCTT